TAATGCGTTTCTACTGGATATAAAGAGTAGGATCGTTTTTCTATTGTTATTAAGTAATAAACGCCCCCCCCCCTAATTACTACACAATGTCAGATTTTATTATGCAAGTCAATGTTTTCACAATAAAATTGATATTAACCAATTGATATTTTACGTTAAATATTAATATAAGTTCCAAGTAGATATAAAGTCGGGGATCGGTTTTCTATTGTTGTTATGTAATAAACTGAGAAAAATAGTTTAAAAATTTACTTTCTTTACTTTTGGATAGGGATCTGAGCAGATATGAACAGTTCGAGGAATTTATGATGAGAAGGATTTCGCTTAAAGGCACTTTTCAAACCTTGCTTGATCGACAAGGCTCCTTTATGGCCGCATTAGTTAAGGCACGTCGGATCCAACGACAGTTTTCCTCTGCCGCAGGATTTATATTTTGCTTTAATAAGATTTCTCGAATATTTAGGCCTCTAGATATACTGTCTAATAAATACATGAGTATCCATTAAAAATAACGTTTAGTGATAAAAACTGTCAGATTGATAAATTAAAATCCATTACTTTAGAAAATTACTGCGGATTAATTATACACTTAGTCTTTTACTAATTAAATTTAAATTAATAAATTATTATTTTTTATTATTAACGATCTGCCCAGGGACATTCTCAGATTAGTAAACATCTATGTTGATTATGTTAAGCTGATCTCTCGTCTGGTCAAGCTCTAACAGATCAATGTGGAAAAACTGGCTTGCAACTTCCAAGAGATCTAAAGCCGAACCTGTAATTTCATCATCACTGATCGGATTCTTTTGTACTCTTAATGATGATTCATGCTTAACGTGGAACACATCTACAGGATCTATTCCTAAAGATGCGGGCAAAATGACCAGCTCATTCTATCCATCAGAGAAGTACCTGTTTTTTTTCTACCATGCTTTATTTTTACAAGAGTCAGCATTGATAAATTCATTAACCTTTCTTAACCGTTTTTTCTACCATGTTTTATATTTACAAGAGTCAAAATGGACAAAAAAGGCGTATTGTTACCATATCTAGCCTGAAGCTGACCGACATTCACTTTTCAGCTTAGACACAGGTCAAAATCATTGACGTGGTCTTGTGTGTGATGACTTATTTTCCATCGTGCAGCCTGTTTCCCCACGGACACAACGTGGCTTCTTCCATGGCAAATGTTCAGATGAGCGTTTTATTTGTTTCAGTAAAAAATAAATCGATAAAATTGATGAACGTTGATTATAAATATGTCTAATTTATTTTATTTAAATAAAAGTCGCCATTATTAGTTTTTAACGTCATATTTATTTTTCAAATATCAAATTAGAAATAACACACATTCTTCATACGGACATTGCAGTGTATAGATTTAAAATCCAACAGACACGGCAACGGCTCTAATATATAAATATATAAATAAAAAAACGAGGAAGCAAACCAGATATCCAAATGTGCTCCATCGTATCAGGAATAAACAGCAAACCGCACAAATTAAGAAAAACTATTAAAAAAAAATAAAAGAAAACAAATAACGGTTCTAATGCATATATTAGGATATAAAGAAAACATGTAAAAATCGCTACACAATTACAGCCGTGTTTCAACGCATACCATGGCATACCATCAGGCGACTGTAAATTGCTAGATTCACCAGTAATTTACAATCGCCTGAAACACGAATGCAGTTGTGTAGCAATTTTTACATGTTATTTTAATATCCTAAAATAAATAATATTGCTCTACTCTGTATTAAGCCCGTTTTTAAATTAAATGTATGAACGTTGTAATTGTACTCTATTCGTTCTCATCTTAACTCGATATATATATATATATATATATATATATATATATATATATATATATATATATATATAATAAAAAAGGCTTAAGCACTAATATTCCATGGTCATAATTTATTCCATTGGAATCGTAAATACGATCAATTTATCAGACCTACAAATTCAAAAAAGAAAACAGAAAAAACGACTCCGGGAATAAAAAATAAAATTTAGTGAGAGTGTATGTATGAGAGTGTGGGACGAATGTTAGAGTAAATGAAAGCTATAGGGAGGGGTAACAGAAGAGAGAAGAACAGGAAGGTCTAAAGATGAAGTGGGGATTAAAATGTAACAGAGAGAAGTTTTAAAGAGGGGAGTCAAAGACGGTTTAAGCGAGAGAAATATGAATATACTTGGATGTTTAATACATTAAGGATACATTTTGTGGTGACATACACAGACAATAGACGATTTAAACTTAAAGATCAGAACATGAGAGAGGGAGAGGAAAAGAAAAGAAAAAGTGGTGGTGGGAGAGAGATGGGATGGGGGGAACTAAAACTGAAGGGCATTTATAAAAGGGTCACTGTGTAATCAAGAAAATTTGACAAAAGTAATATCGATTACAGGTTACAAATCAAATATAAACATATAAAAAACAAACATAACGATTATCTAATCTAGCAAGGACCTATATTTCTATGTTCAAAAACACATGCGTATACACACATACACAACAACATATTTATATTTACACCTATATACATACATATAGGCGTGTAAGATTGAAATATCTTCCAACTTGAAAATAGTCAACTTTTTGGATATTACACTCAACCTATCAAATGATACCTTTAAATCCTTCCATAAAGTTGATCAAACACCCCTATACATCAACGTCCACTCTAACCACCCTAAATCTGTGATAGATCACATCTCCCAAACTGTGAATACAAGAATAAATAGGCTATCTTCTAGCCAAAAAATCTTTAGCAATAATAAATTTATATACAATCAGGCCCTCAAAAATAGTGGTTTTAGGCAAGAATTAAACTTTAACGGAGAACTTGTAAATCATAATAATAATATAACTAAAAACAGAAAGAAGAAGGTAATATGGTTTAACCCACCATATTGCAGGCTCTCTAACATTGATATAGGAAGTTTCTTTCTGAGATTAATTGATAAACACTTTCATAGTAAACATCCACTACGTAAAATTTTCAATAGGAAGACACTGAAAATTAGTTACTCATGCGTTAGAAATATGGAGAAAATTACATCTTCCTATAATTGTAGAATAGTTAGAAACTACCATAGTAATGGAACTCAATCTAGTAACCCTACCAGCAATTGTAGGAATAAAGACCTTTGTCCAATCGGGGCTAAATGTATGTATGAAAATGTAGTATACGAGGCAACAATCTTCCCCTAGAAAAATATAAACCAGAAAAAAAGATATATAGGTATATCCGCCGGTGATTGGAAGCAGCGTCTATACAACCATAGACGCTCTTTTAGATATAGATACCTCAAAAATCAAACTTCCTTATCCAAACACGACTGGGATCTGGTGGATAAGGGACTAACCCCACTTTTCGAATGGAGATACTTATCAAGAGCTAGAACCCCTAATAACTTCCGCGATCGGTGTGATCTGTGCATGGCAGAAAAAAAAATTATGATTAAAGTTAAGAATCAAGATGAGTTGCTAAATCTTCGGAGTGAGATATTTTCTAAATGTAGACATAAGAAACGATTCAAAACATAAGCACCGTTTTATTGTTGTCACTTATGTCAGTTCCATCTTGGTTCAATAACGTCGGGCATGACATTTTAATGGAATGACTATTATGATTATCAATATGTATCATTGTGTATGTTTATGTGATGCGCTATGTATTTAATTTTGATTTTAAGACAATTTTTTAAAAATTTTACGTTTTGATTTATATATATAGATATGTATATGTGCGTACATGTGTGTAGGAATGTATGTATATGTATATAGGTGTATATATATACATATATATAAATGTATATGTATATATATATATATATATTTATGTGTGTATATGGATGTATGTATATGCAGGTGGATGTGTATGTAGATGTGTTTATATGTGTGTGTGTATGTTTAGGTGTGTATGTATGTATGTATAGTTAGACAGATACATAAAGGGATACATTGTTTATTTGTTTAGATGGGTGTATGTAATTGTATGGAGATGTAAGTTTTTATGTATATATGTTTATGTGCAAGTATGTGTATGTCCGTATGTATATATATATGTGTGTAAATGTATGTAGAAGTGGATGTGTATGGATGTATGTGTATATGTATGTATATGTGTGTATGTATATATATATATATATATATATATATATATATATGTATGGGTATGTGTGCACACGGCTATATGCATGTACATACGTGTAAATATAAATATGTTGTTGTGTATGTGTGTATACGCATGTGTTTTTGAACATAGAAATATAGGTTCTTGCTAAATTAGATAATCGTTATGTTGGTTTTATTTATATGTTTATATTTGATTTGTAACCTGTAGTCGATATTACTTTTGTCAAATTTTCTTGATTACAGAGCGGCCCTTTTATAAATGCCCTTCGGTTTTAGTTCCCCCACCCCTTTTTCTTTTTTTTACCTCTCCCTCTCTCATGTTCTGATCTTTAAGTTTAAATCGTCAATTGTGTGTGTATGTCACCATAAAATGTATCCTTAATGTATTAGACATCCAAGTATATTCATATTTCTCTCACTTAAACCGTCTTTGACTTCCCTCTTTAAAAATTCTCTCTGTTAATTTTTAATCCCCCACTTCATCTTTAGAGCTTCCTGTTCTTCTCCTGTTTTTCTCTCGTCTGTTACCCCTCTCTATAGCCTTCATTTACTCTAACATTCGTCCCACACTCTCATACATACACTCTCACTAAATTTTATTTTTTATTCCCGGAGTTGTTTTGTTCTGTTTTCTTTTTGAATTTGTAGGTCTGATGAATTGGATCGTATTTACGATTCCAATGGAATAAATTATGACCATGGAATATTGATGTTTAAGCGTTTTTATTATATCCTTACTCTGTCCCGGACATTGAGTTCTACCTGGATTCTATCCTCTTGGATTTATTTTTTATGCAAATATATATGTATGTGTATGTATGTATATATATTTAAATATATTTTAGGTATATGATTGCATATATATGTGTATATTTACCACTAATATTATCTATCTATCTATCTATCTATCTATCTATCTATATCTATCTATCTATCTCTATCTATCTATGTGTGTGTGTGTGCGTGTGTGTGTGTGTGTGTGTGTATAAAGACAAAAGGAAAACATTTTATCCAACGCATTTCGTGCTCTGATGAACTTTATCAATGCAAATGTAAGGAATGTATTTGCAATTATTTATACACAAAAGTAAAAATGTCGTTCGTTATATATATATATATATATATATATATATATATATATATATATATATTGATGCATGTTTTATTAAATAATATCGACACGTTTTGTCGATTTATTTTATGCAAATTCTTTTCATATCGTCTGATAAGCTTAATAAGATTATCATTAAAAGAAGAAAGAAAATCACAATATTTTTAAACTTATCCAAGCAGAAACTAATTCATCTACAAAACAGATTTTTTACAGTGAACTAAAGAATATTGGATTACAACAAAAAACTTAACCACATACTCCATGATCACATAAAGTTTAAAAAACTTGACAAGAACCCGACCAACCAAATAAAATCAAAGCTTAATAATTTCATTAATGCTAATAATGCTGAACAGAACTCTTTAAAACTCCCTAAAATTGTTGGTGATTATAGACCTGGTTACATATACGGCACTATAAAAACACATAAACCGAACTATCCTCTACGTCCTATCATATAGCAAATTTCAACTCCCGTATATCAGCTAACAAAATACATTAACCAACTCATTACTTCCTACCTTCCTAGTAAATATAGTTTTAAGTCAACATTAGAGTAATCCAAATCCTAAAAAGTGAAAAACCGAACAATGAAATCATAGCTTCACTTGATGTTGAAATGTTACCAATGTTCCTGTTAGTGAAACTATTGACATAATTCTAAGAAATATAGACAGTAACTCATCTTTAGCCCCACTTAAAATTAATCCCAATATATTACGGAAACTACTATTAGCTTGTACTACTGGAGTACCTTTCTTAGATCATAATAATAATATATATACACAACGTGATGGTGTCTCTATGGGTTCAGTACTGGGCCCGACATTTAGCAATTTCTACATGTCGAACCTTGAAAATAAGATATTTACAGATTTTAAAAACCCATCCATCTACCTAAGATCCGTGGGATGTTAGTTAAAAATACAGATGAAATATTTCAACTTCAAAAACGTTTCCAAAATAATTATCTCCTTAAATTCACGTATGAACTCAATACTACTAATAAAATTCCCTTCCTTGACATATTGATAAACACAAATAATAACAAATTTACTACTTCGTCATACAAAAAAACCTACCAGCATAAATTGATGTACACTTAACTACAAGAGCGAATGCCCAAATTACTACAAAATAGCAATTATAAAAAATCTAATACATCGCGCAGAAGCTAATTCATCCACAAAACAGACATTTTACAGTGAACTAAAGAATATAAAACAAACACTTATTAATAATAGCTTTTCAAACTATATAGTTGATGAACAAATAAGATGCTTTCTTAGAAGTCTCAATACTAAGCAAATAGTACGTAATACTGCTTCTACTAATCTCAAACATATTAATTTCCTATATCGTAATCAAATGCATACTAATTATAAACAAGATGAAGATATACTAAAAAATTAGTTAATACTAATATATCTACAACAGATCCTAGCAAAAAAATTAAGTTAATCATATACTACACTAAATCTAGTATATCCAACTCAATTATTCGCAATGATTCTACACACACACCCCATTAGCGATTTGCAAAAAACCAACATAGTTTACAAATTCAACTGCCCTTTGGAAGATTGTATATCCAACGGATTAAATAATATTTATGTTGGTCACACCACAAACTCGCTTTCACGATGCTTGACACTACATTTGAATTATAACTCTAACATTTTTAGGCATTTAAAACAACATGCCTGGCCGCATACACAATTCCGTAAAATCCTTGTTGAAAACACAACTATACTTAAAGATGAAAACAATAAACAAAAACTAAAAATTCTTGAAGCTATATACATAAAACAGTTGAAACAAAATAAACTATGAAATCTCTACAAATTCTTAAATGTCTATAATTAACAACAGAAGCCATTGGTTTATACCAATAGCTTCCCATACTTAATACTTCTCATTTTCACTCTCGCGTGGTCATGTGTTACGTCATGAGCTGCGGTGTGATTTTCGCTTCCAGCGTCTTACATGCACAAGTTTGTTGTTGCTTGTAAATCTTCCATGTAAACAGAAACAGACTATCATCACTTTGTCGTGTATTTCATAATATATTGTAATATAATTTTAATCTTTGATAATGGCTTATGTAAGCCGAAAACTTAGATAGGATTAAAAATATGTATCAATATTGTGATTTTCTTCTTTTAATGATAATGTTATTAAGCTTATCAGACGATATGAAAAGAATTTACATAAAATAAATAGATAAAACTTGTCTATATTATTTAATGAAACATGCATCAATGGAAAAATGTTGCCTAAATACACACAATTTAAATTACATGATCCAAAAGCTCACCAAACTATCAACATTGGAATTATAAATGTAGCTTTGTGAAAAGGGAAATTGGAATAGCCAAAGAAAAATTGAACATCCTTAACAGCAACAAACAGGACATCTATGATAAACTTAAAGGTATAATTACTCCGGAGCAACTGGAGGAAATTACGCATAGACTCACGGAAATTACGCATAGACTCACGGAAATTACGCATAGACTCACGGAAATTACCAATAAATCTGAAGTTCAACACCGATTTAAAATTATAAAAAAAAAAACTGAATACATTATACAAAGATAATATCACTCTTCCTAACAGCATTGATAAATTCATTAACCTTTCTTAACCGTTTTTTCTACCATGCTTTATATTTACCAGAGTCAAAATGGACAAAAAATGGCGTATTGTTACCATATCGAGCCTGAAGCTGACCGACATTCAATCATTGACGCGGTCTTTTGTGTGATGACTTGTTTTCCATCGTGCAGCCTGTTTCCCCACAGACGCAACGTTGCAAGCCTATGATTACTCTATCGCTTCTTCCATGGCAAATGTTCAGATGAGCATCGCGTTTTAGTTTTAGACCGTTACTGCTAGGAATCACTTTGCTATGTTAACAGAGTCGAATCACTTTCTCCGTATTCCATTTGTAAAGAGGAAGTCCCACCAAGTTAACTTTTCCGCGAGAAAGGCTACGTTGTGAAAGAGACTCCCGCGTGGATGCTTCCCTGAACACAAGAATCTTAACTTCTTCAAATCAAATGAAATTCGTTATCTATCCTCCCTACTCTCATAACATTTACTTCTTTCTAACTCCTTTTACATTCATATCACGCACCTACCCTCCACTACGAGGTACTCTTGAGCGTTTTATTTGTTTCAGTAAAAAATAAATCGATAAAATTGATGAACGTTGATTATAAATATGTCTAATTTATTTTATTTAAATAAAAGTCGCCATTATTAGTTTTTAACGTCATATTTATTTTTCAAACATCAAATTAGAAATAACACACTTTCTTCATACGGACATTGCAGTGTATAGATTTAAAATCCAACAGACACGGCAACGGCTCTAATATATAAATATATAAATAAAAAAACGAGGAAGCAAACCAGATATCCCAATGTGCTTCATCGTATCAGGAATAAACAGCGAACCGCACAAATTAAGAAAAACTATTCCCAAAAAACTAAAAGAAAACAAATAACGTTTCTACTACTACTACTACTACTACTACTACTACTTCCACAGACACACACACACACACACACACACACACACACACACATATATATATATATATATTAGGATATTAGGATATTTAAAAAAACATGTAAAAATCGCTACACAATTACAGTCGCGTTTCAACGCATACCATGACGTCTCCTCAGGCGACTGTAAATTGCTTGAGTTGCCAGTAATTTACAATCGCCTGAAACACGAATGCAGTTGTGTAGCATGCTGTTTTAATATCCTAAAATAAATAATATTGATCTACTCTGTATTGACCCCGCTTTTAAATTAAATGTATGAACGTTGTAATTGTTACTTCTCTCATATTACTTTTCTCTCTCTCTCTCTCTCTCTCTGTATATATATATATATATATATATATATATGTGTGTGTGTGTGTGTGTGCGTGATGTGTGTGCGGGTGTGCTTGTGTGTGTCTGTGTGTGTGTGTGTGTATAAAGACAAAAAGAAAACATTTTATCAAACGCATTTCGTGCTCTGATGGACTTTATCAAGGCAAATGTAAGGAATGTATTTGCAATTATTTATACACAAAAGTAAAAATGTCGTTAGTTATTAATGTTTTTCCAATTTTAGAACGCTCATTAATAAACATGAAGCTAACTGCTAAAAAGTCTATGTAAATTTATGAAGTTAAACAGAAAATAAATGAAAACATTTTCTGCTTAGTGGGTTGATTTATCATCCAATAGACACAGGATCTAATATAGAGTGTACGATAAATAAGTTGTTTTCTAAATTATGAAAAAATGAAAATAAGACTGAGATCTCATTTTAACAGATATATTTACTAACATTGCACAAAATTATCTTGAAATACTAAAGAGTAAATTTATTCAATAAAATCGCTATTGGCTTCAAATACGACCTAGAGAAGACTTCGGAATCTCCTGCAACTCTCCTGGACGGTCTCCTTCTTTAAGTTGGTGAATGCTGCCATAATCCTTGCCTTCAGTTCATCTTTGGTGTTACAAGGAGTTTTGTTGGACTCTTGCACAACTGCACCCCACACATAATAATCAAGGAGGTTGCAGTCTGGGGAGTTAGGTGGCCAGATGTAAGGGGTGATGTAATCGCAGAAATTGTCTGACAGCCATGACTAGGTTTTCCTGCTTGTGTAGCATGGTGCAGAGTCCAGTTGCCAGACGTAGGGTCTTGACTCAGGGCAGCACTACCTCCTCAAGGCACTTGATATAGGCCTCCGTATTGAGTCTGAGACCCTCACCAACAAATTCGGGAGTGCTTTTCTTATCAGAAGGCTCAAAGTTTTTCGAGT